GAGAGAGAGAGAGAGAGAGGAAAGGAAGAGAGAGGTAGAAACGTAGAAAGATGGAATAAGAGAAATAGATGGATACAGATTTAGTTACGTGTATGTGTTTGTATGTTTGCGTGTGTGTATACGTGTGTGCAAGTAAAAGACAAAACAGAAAAAAAGGAGAAAAAAAATCACTATCCATAATAATATAATGATAACATATGTGAGGCAGCGTGGTGGAATCAGGCTCTCGTCAAAATAATGAACGTGAAGAAACTTGCATTTTTCCCATAGGTTTGTGAATTTTTACCAAATTTTTGTTTTTTGGCTCAACACCTTTCATGCCCATTAAAGAACTCATTTCTGTATGTATTTTTATGGGAAAATGTTGATTAAAGGCACACAAAATATAAATTTTCAGTTACCACGTACTCTTAAGCTAAGGAAATAACTAATCTTTGGCGGGCATTTTCTCACTAATTTTACCTCTGAAAACAAGTGACCCCCACCTCCTTCTTTCGTAAATATCTCGACCTGTATTCAAGATAAATGGATATTTATTCCCTCCAAAATAACTCTACATGGCCAAAAATTGACGAGCGCCTGACTTCACCTCGCTGCCTCACATATTAGTATTATCTTCTTTCTTGTACCTAGGGGTCTAGAGGTTAAGGTGGTAGCCTCTCATTCAATAGGTCCAGGGTTCGAATCTGGATATCGACGGAAACTTTTATTCTCTAAAATGTTCTCCCTCTACATCCTTTCCGGCTCTCTAACAATGTTCTGTCGTCTGCTTTCTTCACTACTTTCTGCCCCCACCCCTCAACTCCTTTGCTCCCTCTCCTGGGCTAATTACTCTTTCTGCAGACTTTCTACTGCTACTCCTTGGCTCCTTCTTACTGCTTTTTTCAACTACGCCCCTGATCTTATAGTAGGAATGATCTACATTTAGCCTTCTCGGAGGTGCCGTGTGCAAGTTGCGCATGCTAAAAATCCCTCAGTGGTCCAAAACCAATAAGAATAGGCATCGGCGCCATACCGACAAAATTCAGTTTCCTACCAACTGAAAAGGCTAAATGTGTCCCGCTCATATGAACTAATGCAGTTGCGAGTGTGTAAAACAAATTATTGTACGTTTACCTTCATTCTGTCGTCCCACCCCCTTCCCCCCTCCCTCCCGTCCACAGCGGAGTGCCTCCAGTACCGAGCGGGGGTGGGTACACTCAGTTACGCGGCCGCCCCCCGCTACCTGATCACCATACAGTGTGAGGACACCAACGAGCCGGCCGCCACAGAGGTCATACAGATCAATGTGGTGCCCAATACTGCACCCTACTTCAACAACGACTTTAGTAAGGCATTACAGCTGTCTTGTCTGTAGTTAAACGTTACCACTGTGTTGTCTATAGTAAGGCATTACCATTGTGTTGTCTGTAGTAAAACATTGCCACTGTTTTGTCAGCAGTCAGACATAACCATAATGTATTCTGTAGTAAAATAGTACCACAGTGTAGTCTATAGTAAGACATTACCATTGTGTCGTCTATAGAAATTCATTACCATTGTCTTGTTAGTAAAAAGACATTACCACTGTGTTGTCTATAGTAAGATATTACCAATGTCTTGTCTGTATTGACACTTTACCACTGTGTAGTCTATAGTAAGACATTGCGTAGCCCCAGAAGTCATACAGATTAACGTGCCAAACACCGCGCCCAACTTCAACAACGACTGTAATGAGACATTACCACCGTGTTGTCTGTCGTAAGACATTACAGTTGTTTTTTCTTTTCTCTTATGATCTCTCTCTCTCTCTCTCTCTCTCTCTCTCTCTCTCTCTCTCTCTCTCTCTCTCTCTCTCTCTCTCTCTCTCCCTCTTTCTCTCTCTCATGGTGGAGATTAATCTTTCTTCACCTCTACTCACCTCACCACATTGCAGCCCATCTCACCTCACCTCACGTCACCTCATTTTGTCTCGCCCAACCTCACCTCACCTC